CTTCAGCTCTTTCCTGTTTCACCAACGGATCCCACTCGTTGCTCCGACTACTCACTGTAAACACGTGAACATCTTTATCTGCGACACCTGCCACTCATTTACAACTGCAGCTCACTGAACACTCCATTGAGGTCCTCTGTCTCGCTGAAGAGACACTTCATTTTTTTCTTTTCATTTTCTTTTTTGCTCAAAGATGACAGTTGAAAGAAAAACCAAACTACCTCCAGGGTATGAGAACCCTTTACTAATTTCACTGCCACACAGACTTTCCAACAAAAAAGTATTAACCATAAGAAAATCAGTGATTCAGAAGGACAATTGTTGGTTATCTGCTGCCTCCTGTGGTGAGTCTGCATCACACAAGCAAGATGATTTAGAAATAGGATTTAACAAAGAACAGATATTGTAAGGTGTGAGAGTGAGTGTTTTGGAAACATCCCCCTCTTGTTCCTCACCTCAAGGAGACTGAGACAGAGCAGAAAACTTTAAACCTTAATTTTTTAAACTGTAAAAAAAAAAAAACGATGTGTATGAATGTAACAGCGGACTGGGTTAATAGAATTACAGTGTTTTTCATTCAGTTCAAATGTATAGTGATCGTAATATCTCCACATAGAAAAACATATGCAGAACTGAACTTTGGAGATTTTAATAGAATCTCTATCGTCGCTGATTCTCTGCTCTCTAATTTCACGTGTGTGGCGTCAGGCCCTTATTTTGTGGTAATGTGATTTTTTTTCTCTAAAGCCACGCCCTCTGTACCACCCTAACTCCCCCAGGGTTTGGAACAGTACTGCCGTCATTCAGCCCCTGAGGCTTTAACCTCTAACCTCACTGGGCGTTGCTTTATGTGATTGGAGGACACCTGCTGCTGCTGCTGCTGCTGCTGCTGCTGTTATGATAAACTTTGTTTATAAATGCATACAGAGAAAACAAAAAAGTCAACAAATGTCTGACGTCAAAACAGTAGAAACAAACCCAAACTACTACTCAACACACTGTATGTAAGGAAATACCTTTTATACATCAAACAATTAACTCCTCCTACACATATGTCTTGCAGACATGAGCACAAATTCGCAGCTGTAATCAGATGTTCATGGGGAAGGACAGGTGTTAAACACATGTTAACTACTGTTGTCATGTTTGTTTGTAAACAACTGATAGCATAGGCCAGACTTACTTGATGCAAATTGGTATTAGCTGGTGAACAGGACTGGACACCTGGTGTCAGCTGATTTTTACAGGTGCAGACATATGTTTAATACTTTCTGCAGTTAGCATGTTTTAATTAGTGATAAGCTGGCGTTAATAGACGGTAAATACTGACTAAAAGACCTGCTAGCTCCAGTTAGCAATAAAATGAGCAACAAACCAAGCCTAGACAGCGAAGTAAAAAATGATGTACTTTAGAATTAAAAAGACACTTTATAAAGAATAACTATCAAGAAAATTAAAACAGTCCTGTCATTTTAAACATAAAAAAGAAACAGATGTGTATGTGTGTGTGTATGTGTGTGTGTGTGGCCCTGCGGTAACAGCTTCTTTGTGCTCTGAAACAGATTTAACATAAAAACCACAGAGAGAGAAAAAAAAACTTGAAACAGTTCACTTGTGCATTTTTGCAGTGGCTGCCAAGACATCTGTCGAGTGACACACCCTGTAATTATAAACGCGAGGAACAGAAATGATTATTTCCATCCTCACATGCACGTGTGCACAGACACACACACACACACACACACTACACACCCATGCAAAAAAAACTTTACTCTTTTCACTGATATGATATGAGATAGGGGAACTGCAGTTAATGATACAGAAAATTATACAATAATACGTTAGTACTTCAACTATAGAGGTTCGTGAGGCAACTGGACTTAGGCTCAGGTTTCTTGAAAAGATCTGTTTCTGGGCTTTTTATGTTCAGTTTCACATCTAGTCTAATGAATTTGCTCTATTTTTAATTTGTCAGATAAACTAAGCTTGAAGTGATCGTAGAGGAAGTCAGTGAGTTTAGCTTATTGACACATGAGCTGTCGGTCTACTGCTGCCTCCTGTGGTCACGGTGTGTCACTGAAATAAATCTTTAAGTTGAAAAATGAAAGAAAAGAATGAATCTGCTTTAATAGTAATTGCACTAACAATATAGCCTCATCCAAATGTGTCCTCCGTCTCTCCAACACATCACAGGCAGGCCAGGACTCGAACCTGTGATTCTCTGATATCTAGCCCAGTCCTGAGGCCAAGTAATTACAAAGATTAAAACTTCTGAAGTCCGTCATAAATCAGGAGCCGTCCTCCCCTCCTCCCTCCCTGTCTGACCTTTGCCCTGTGAGGTCACTGCACCTGTTGTTGGTGCAAGCGGTCGGCAGGGTGACGTCAGACGTCCTCTGCGTGTGTTTTCCATCAGTGTTTGAAGGTGGAGCTGCCACTCGTATCCTATTCTTTCTGCTCTAAATCCATGTCCCTGAAGCGTCAGCTCAGCTGAATGTGTCCCCAGGGAAAAATTCAGGGCTTAAGTGTTTCCCTCAAGGATTTATTTTAAAGTGACACACCTGACAGTTATTAGATGAAGCAATCTTACTTTCTTTGTTTAACTTACTCTCACTTAAAGCTATTTTTGTCCAGTTCTAGCTGCGCTTTTATCAAGTTGACTAAAATTTAGCTATTTTTGCACATTTCAGTAACTGGAATATGTAGGTATTGTTTAAAAGGGGTCAATTGAAAATTTGAGTCACTAGAAATAGGTTCTCATCTCTAACACTGCAATACATTAAATTAACATGAAATTGTAATAATAAATAGTAATACAATTGTTGGTTTTAAAGCTATAGTACCTATATATAAATATAATGTATAAGAAGACAGTTTGGGAAATTACATCACAAAGTGCAGAGTATGAATTTCTCACACACAAATGAAATGAACACTGGTAAAATTGATTATTTAAACAGTAGTTTGAATTCTGTGGTGAACACAGAAGGTAAAAAATAAGAAGACAAAGGTTTGGGTTCGGCATCAGTCTTACTGAAATCTGTGCTATACACACTCAGAAACGAGCAATGAATCAGGATTACTCAGCTTAGTTTTCTGAATCTCCAAAGGTAATGAAGAAACAGGGAGTACATGGTGTTCTTTATTGTGATTCTGATCATGTTCACAGATAAACAGATGAAGAAGACTCAGGTGTGTGAACAGGTTTGTTGTGTCTTTAGGTTATGGAAATCAAACGCAGCTTCTTCTTTTTTTTCAGTTGTTCTTTTGTTCATATTTTTTTCATCCGGTTTCTGTCTTGTTACTTATCAGCAATCAATTATAGATCAGAGGAGTGTTAGATGAAGCAGCCTAAACATAGTCCAGATAACACACACTTCAAATGGAGGACAATATCAGGAAGATATCAGCAATAAACATATTGACCTCACAAGTCTGTACTCTGGCTAACTGCTGCTAAGTACAGATAGCATGTTTAACAAAGCAAAAATCATTTAGCTTTACAGCTTAATTCTTGCTCAAACTTAGCTGACATTACATGGTAGAACTGAGGAAATGTATAACTGCATTTCCTGAACTTGAGATTATTTCTTTCTAAAGCACTATGTTATGCAATTTAATCCATCTCTAAACCATAAACAGCACAAAAAAGTAAATTAAAAGATTGTTTAAATCTTCTTTATCATGAGGTTAGATGTAATTTTACTCATTATAGTTTGACAATAGTTTGAAACCCAAGAGGTTAATGCAGTCAGTATGTTCCTTAGAAGTTCTGTCATTGAGGCCGCAGCAGATGAACCAGCTTAGGTTCATTCTACCATCGCAGCACCATTAAAAACAGATGTTATCAGGATCACAGCTGTCTGCAGAGACAAGACACAACTCCTGACAGATCTATTGACTGCTGTCCTGCAGCTGCTGCCTGGAAAACACATCACCATCATCTTTAGCATCATCATTATTACCATTATATTATAGAACCACGGTGGGGGTAAGGGAGGCGGTGGAGGGAGCATACACACATGTGCTTTACAGAGCTAGAATAGAACTGGTGTTTTATGCTGGTCATTAGTGTTTAAATTAATGATATAGGAAAGTTCAGTTATAAAACAAAGGCGTGATGTAATATTACACATGATGTGTGTGTACTGTGTGGAAGTACTAGACTTTGAACAACACCAAACGACACCAAACTAAAGTTTACAGAGAAATTGTTATGATGTCAGCTTACAGGAACACAGGAAATGCTGGTCTACTACTGCATTCTGTGGACAAATTGTTTCATTGAGGAAAAACTGAACAAATTTCAAACAGTGGATTCACAAAGTAAAACAGTCAATGTTAGTTATAAAGGCAGCCGTAGAATATCAGCTTCTGTGTTCCTGTGAGCTGAAACCATTTGTTTTCTTCATTCACTTTGGTGTGGTTTACAATTTCAATAGTTTGTTTGAAAAGCAGGTTTTAAATAAAGTCATTCAGTTAATTGTACATATATTTTATTAGCCACGGCTAATGTTTCTAACGGCTAATCTTTTTTTTTTTTTTGAAATTTGTCTCCTAGTATTCCTTGCTGGCAGACATGATTTCCAGCAGTTTTGAAGGTACCTCATTCAGCCATGCTTTTTTTTTTTTTTTTTTTCAAATTTCCCAACTGTCCCGTTCACCGTTGTCATCAAAAGATTCTACATTATGTGTCACTACATCTATTGTTTAGAAGCTCCGTCATCGCTGCTGTAGTAGCCGTAGGAGTGTTGGACCAGAACCCAGACTCTGGTTACTGTAAGTGACAGGATTGTGCTGCCGTCCCACGCTCAGACACATTTTCAATAGAACCTTGGTGTCTCCACTTAAAAACCTAAACCTCCGTACTTCAAAGTGGGAGGATTTATCACGAACCTCAGTATCAGTCTTCTGACCCTCCTGGCCTGCTTCCTGGGCCCAGTCTGATTATTTACACAGAACACTTCATACCTCTTCTTTTCCCTCTTCTACTTCTTTTACAGTCACTGATTTTCATCAGGGATCATAATCCTCTCGGACAGGAAGTGTCTGGCTACATTGACTACGCCCACAGACTGAAGACACAGAATTTTGAGGCCTTTTTCAGCGGAAAGAAGAAGCTGATGCCAGGACGTTCAGATTTATGGTGAGTCTTCTTATGCCATTAACACATCGACATCCATTAAGAGACGTGATGGCAATTTCTTTATGGAAATAGGAATCCTATTATCAAAATTTAGTGTGACGTGAGTGACAATAGTCAGGTCTGAAGAAACCAACAGAAATGGAATAGTCAGCTGTTGATGCCTAAATGTTCTCCATAACAACTGACATATGTAACAATGACATGAGTTTGTTGACATTGTTTTTTAGGTGTTAAATTAGTTAGAACTTACGCCGTGCCAAAGTCCAATCTAATACTAACATCAAAAATAAACTGCAGTTGTCGATCAGCTGCTGCCTCCATAACGAAGTTCATATGTGCTACAATTTTTTGGTTCACTTTTTTTAGGGACACATACTGATGACTAGAGGCAGTATGTAGACTATCACCTCACTTGTGCCAAAATTAACATAAATGTTGAAACCTAGAAAGAACTGTTGAAACTTGCGCTCCTTAAGTATGGAGAAGTACAAGAACTACAGTCCTGCCACTAAGAACTAAACACAGTAACAGAAATTATAAATGCTTCACCTCAGGAGCTAACACAACAAGCTCATAACAATGACAAAAAACTTTGTGACAACCAGATTTTACTCCAAAAATGACCTTATGGCCAATAAATCCACTATTGAGCCTCGATACTTTTTGCTTCTAGAGATGGAGTACAGAGCTCGAGGTATTATTTTTAAACACCAGGAGAACAACAAGACAATGCAAACTTTACAATTCCTGTTACTATGAAATTCATCTATTTTGACCGTGTTTTGCCCTGGACCTGGATCTTATTCAAGGTTTGCTCTTTCCTGGACCTGAACTGGCAACCCCTCTCTGACCCAGAGACACTCTCATGTTAAACCTTCATCAGATCTGCAAGAGTCAGTGAAGAATCATGAAGTTCTGTTTGTCCTCCAAACACCTGCAGCAACTCCAGTCTCACAGATTCACTAAAACCACAGCTGAACTGCTGACCCAACCACCGCCCTCTCCTCAGTGTGTGTGTGCGTGCACAGAAGTGCGCACAAGCGTGGGACAGGTACAACCCTTGTGTCAGACCTGTGTCAGTGCAGAATCAGCGCAGCCACAACCACCAGCACCACATTCCACACAGTCGTGTTCACCAACACTAAACCAACATGTCGGGATGCTGTGAAAATTCCCACCAGGGCAAACATGGATCATCATCATCTGAGCCAGAAACAGCGAGTTCAGGTCAAACATGTTTCAGTCAAAGGTTCAGCCAAATTTCATACGGTCACAGTGACCTCAGGAGTGTGGTCAACATCTCCTGAGGTTTATCTCCATCAGGTGAAGCATTCAGACATTGGGCAGAGCCTTCCTGGTCAAGTATCCCAGGATTTAATGGATAGGAACACGTCCTGGTTCGTGCTCATAGTTGTGTTAGTTTGAAATTGTCAAAGCATCGAGCACAACACGTTGCTATTTTGTCACTGGTGATATTAGATCACCAGGGCAGTTGTTGATCCACCTTCTGTGGTCATTTCATGTCTATGAGGTAAATCTGAAGACAAAATTCCCAACGCTGAAGTCACAAAATAACACAATTATACTTAGTGATGGAGATGACAGTTGACCAGCAGCAACTGTGAGTAAAAATCACCAATTTTGTTTCGTTAGCAATAAGCATCAATTGAAGTGATTCAAACTGATCTATATTTTATTAGCTGTGTTCTTGGTAAACTGGCTAAAATTATTTCCCTGTGTTCTGTTTCTTCACCAGGTGAAACCAGGTCAACTGTATGTAAATTTGACAATAAAGTTGACTTTGACTAAGAAGGATATTCAGTCAGTCTGCACTATCCCTAAAGAGCAGTTTCATATCCTGGATCAGGAGTTTTAGCAGCATTTTCAACATTATATTCTAATTAAAAATGCTGTTTTTTTTAATTCAGCATCACGTCGTCAGCTCTAACATTTAAATGATGGACGTTTTGCTGCCTCTCCTCTTTTTCCTTTTATCTTATTCCCCTTCACCCCCACACACCCCTAACCCCCTCTCTGTTTTTTTAATCTCTGTCGGGAACAATAACACCCAGTGTGGTTAGCTCACTAAGAGGGAGCAGATGCTGCAGCTGCAGCTGAAAACT